ATTTCCTCAAGAAATATAAATTCTAACAAGTCGGAGCAACAGCAACGAACAGGAGTTCTGTATATTTTTAAAGGGAAATTCACGCTTCGAAACTTAATAAAGTTGAGTGAGAAAACTATTTCTTATCGCATTCAATAGGAATACGGAGATGTAAAAATGCAGGGCTTTAAGTTTACCGAGTATGTACGGAAGCAGCTGCGTGTTCCCATCACAAACATTGCGTTGTTGAAAGTAACTCGTTCCACATTACCTACTCAGCAACTTTATAAGCACCACCCTATTTCGCAGGCAACGCCATCTTATTACTTCATGCATTACAAGAACTAATGTAAGAGTAATCACATCACACATTGTGAAACAAAAGTGTGAGAATTTACTTTTATAAAAAATATGCGAAAACAAATTACTTTTGATGCCCACCTTTAATTTTAATATACGAGAAATGGAGTACTTCGCGTTATAGATATTGCAAATATAATAGCATAGCAAAATATAACAAGTTAAAGATCAAATGAATAAGCCAAAAGTCAACTTTTTGCTACGAAGTCTTTCCGCTTTAATGCAAACAGAAATCTGAAACGGTAACCACTTGCTATTTAAAAGTTTTCTTTTACTCTATTTGAACTGTCGACTAATTAAAAATTGTATGAAAATATTCATGATTCTCTTATTTTGTCGGTGCTTAGTTTCATGTCTTGTACAGCTAAGTACCTATGTATTATTTTAATTGATGAATTTCATCGATACAAGCACTAATTTATATACGTGTATCTATCATAGAAGATGATATTTTATATGACGTAATTAATTCTAAAGGGAACGTAAGCTTTTAAATCATAAATTAACTGATATAACTCACTACTACAAACTGTTTGTGGACTTATGTACAAACTATTTCCCTGCCAACCGGTAATACTGAGAGCTCACATGTAAACCTCTTGTAACAATAGAGGTCCATATGCGATTTTAGTTTTGATTAGTAAAGTTTTAGGGTCTATTGAATTGCAGTCCTGAACAAACTTCTAAATGCTAACAAGCGTACGTCGGCGCTCGACGTCCCATCGTTTTGAGTAGGTATTACAGTATCAAAGCAAGCGCTGTTCGTAACACACGATGCTTTGTTAATGTACAGTTTAATTAAAATTTCAGTTGCATTTGTACAAAGAGAACAAACATCGAGTCAGTACAACCATACTAATTATTGAGAAGGGATTATAAAGGAGGGTGGGTAATACGGTTAGATAGTTTATTATTATACAACAGAAAATCTAAAATATATTTACAGTAACTCTTGGTATATAAAACTACTATTATAATGTTTAATATATAGATGTAGTATATTTTCGAAATCGTGAAAAGTTTCACTTAATATAAATGAAGAATAATTAAAAAAAATATATTTAAATTACTTCAAAAATGAAGATTGCATTCATTAAAGCTGACCTTATTTACTATGAAAGCTGCATTTAAATTTGACTCGAACGTGGATTTTGTTAAGAGGATTGCAGGTTGCAGGAACTGTCTGAAAATGAATTCCTTAATTAACCGCTCAAAGTTATTTCACTAACAGATAAAACTATAACTAGCTTACGCTTCATAACTTTGTTTTCATGGAATTTCAATTCTCATTTCCTGAATCCAATTAATATTATAATAAAAAATAACTTAATTATTTTCCATAAATTTTAATGGAAGATGAATACAATATCAGGTTTTATTTAGTTGATTAATAAAATCTTTTACACAAACTCTTCTGAGATATTTTTTTTTACGTTTTATAAGCTAGCTAGCTAGCTAGCTAGCTTGACCACGATCCCACCTGGAGAAGTAGAGATTTGGTCGAAAGATGGTACGGTGGCGCTAGATATTATAACAAATTGATTAAGTTTACACTAGCTATTTGAATAGTCATATATCTATGTGTGCAATCAATGGAAACGACTTAATTACGTTAACAATTATTAATTTTAACAATTACATTACAAAAACACTAGTCATATATTATAATAAAAACAATATTTTCTAAGACAAGTATTTCTAAAATAGAACTACTTTACTAAGGCATGAAACAATAAATCTAGATTTCTAACACTTTAAAAGAATAGACGAAACGCATGCGATGTCGGTTTTATTCTCTCGGAAGCTAAATGGGTTTCATTAAGCTATTAGGACAGTACGCTTTATCTCCTTTGCTTTAAATAAACCGTTACTTATGTTCATTTTGTGGAGTTAAAGTCTATTTAAAAGGAGGTTTTATTCAATGTTTTTGGTTCAAAATAAATATTAACCAAATTACTTAAAGTATTTTATGATATTTTTCTCACATAAAAAGCATTTATACTTCTTTGTTGAAGTTATTTAACTATGAAATATTCACCAGACTAAAAGCATCCCATATCTAGTAATAGGCGAGTTCAAGCTGAAGATGTAATAAAAAAATAAATTTAAACTTTTAGAAAAATCATACAAAAGCATAGAATAATATTTGAATCACGGATTCGAAAAATTGTGACTTAAAACTTTAATTGTAAAGGTATAAGATTGTCAATCTTAATATCCTTAGAATTTTCATATACTTTATAGGCATTTATAAGACTAAGTTTATACGAAACTCAATCAGAAATTACTAAGTTCTCGAGCTAGAGAAGTTTTAAAGTAGTTAATCGTACTCTAATTTAAAAAGTTAACCGTAAGATCGAAATAGAGCAGATAAAGTTAGTGGAAAAAAAATTATGAAGATAAATTAGATACCTAGGTATTGTAAGGTTTTTAATAAGTAGTACATACATATGTATAAACCAACAATATTTAATATACAAGTTTACAAAATTATTTATTTCATAATTTTTTTTTCCTTTAAACCAATAGCATAAATATACAAATGATATAAGCATAACTACGCGGTTTCTTTTTATTACCCTCCGATAAAAGTGGTTTTCATATAACGGCAACAAGTAACAAAAGTTACCCCATTCTCTCTCTGTTCCTACCTTTCCATATCAAAGTCAAAATGGAATGTGGTGAGACAATACGCTTGAAGTAAATTCCATAATGCAGTTCCTGTCAGATTAATTATTATTAACGTTTATTCAAAACTTACTTCCGACTTTTAGGTGTGAAAATTTAAAATTAATTTCAATTACTTTATTCACATTTTCAACACAGTCTTTGTAATTTGTTCTTCCATCCATCAATTCTCTACCAAAGTTGTTAACTTTCATCCTTATTGTCGTAATCTAATTCTATTTAAAACATTAGTTTTCGATATAAAATAATATGACAGACTAGGAAGGCTCAATCGTATAATAGCCTAAACTAGGGACACGGGACCGTAAACCAGATGGCTATCGTCACTGAAAACTGAAACATGATGAGTAGAAGCATCTGCAGGAATTACAAGTCCCAGGAGTCGTGTAGATGTGACTTGGTATGGAAGGAAGTAACGACTAGTACTAAATATTGTCCTGCCCGAGGCCCACCTTGGATAGCTGCACCACTCTTAACAATAAGCAACAATTCGGTTCTTACGGAAGCATACGAATAAGGTCATTCTTTTCTTTTAGATTTTAACGTGACTTGAATCACAACAGTTATAAATAAATAATAATAAGGTGGCATATTATAAATCGTGATAAATTGTTAATCAAAATTATCTACGGAACAATCTTATTTGCCGTTATAGGTACATCCGACATCCAGATACAATCAAAGCCTTGCGATATTCTATCTCATTGTGCAGATCGTATGTTAGTTCCAATTAATTCGAACTGACACTGAATAACGGATTATAGAGTTGCATCTGTGGCAAAGCCTTCGTTTGACTAATTCAGTACGAGCCCCAGCCGTGTTCTGTTAAATAACACCTTTATTACAATACTAATTAATATATACAGTTTAATATTCACAGCCCCCAATGGTAACAAAGGATACGGCAACAACAGCGAAATTGATAAATTTACCTTTCAATTAACCTTAATAAAACATAATAAATCTTGAGCTTTGATTAATCTAAAAACTCGAAGATACGATAAGCTTTTAAAGTAAATTGGAGCCTTATAATTAATTTTGTGGGCGCACGGCTAACTAATTAAATTGTGTAATTCATTCGCGCAGAGTTTTGTATTGAATATTAAATATCATTAGCACAGTATTTATCTTATTTTATTTTACTAGCTAATATGTGTGTTTAGGGATAGTAAATGGAGTAAACGTAAGAGTCAGACCTAGACCACTCATCGATCGAAAAATGGCACTGAAATAAATTCAAAAAAGTCTTGACTAATAAACGTCTTGACTTTTTGTTATATCTGTTTTGTCAAAGATGACAGAGGTTTTGGTCTCAGAAGCCAACGATTAGTCTTATTCTTGCGATTTAGGACAAACAATTTTTAAAAACATTTGCCGAAACAAAACATCAACTATTCATTAATGTGCAATTTGCCAAAGTTAAAGTTAATGTTAAGAAATGCGTATAATATTCTGTTAAGTCAATATAAATATATACCTAGTTTTTGCAGCAAACTGCTGCCCTCTACAAACAAGGGGTTAAAACAAAATAGTCCACGTGTTCAAAACAAAATAGTCCTCGTAGCTAGCGCCAGATGGCCTAAAAGAATTATAGCTTCAGTACATTCTCTAGAAAACCGAGTTTTCATGCGTATTGTATTGTATTAATCTTGCTAATATTATAAATGAGAAATGAATCGAGCGTAAAGTACACCAAAAACTCTTATCCTAATTTTGACATAATTGACGATAACGATACGAAGATATCACAAATATTCATATTAGGTCTACTCTAAAAGGCCGACTGAGCGCTCGTGAAAGAGGCGCTGCTGTCGCAGGTAGTTCTGTGACATAAAATATAAAACCTACTTAATCACAGAAAACAACATAAAAAACAAAAGTGACTGGTTCAGAAAGGCTTGTCGATTATTATCACCGCCTTTCTCATCGGATCAGTAATCCTTGTTTCATTATACTCTAGGAAACGATCGAATTTTCCTCTTGCATTTTCAGTCTATGATTTGCATATCCTGTGACGATGGCGAAAGTTCCTGTCCTCTTCCTTTCTCCTCTTTAGCCTGTGACATTTTTGTATAGTCATGTTCAGCCATGTCTTTTCTTTCTGTAGCATTTGCCATTTGCGTTTCAAAATTTTAATCAATAAATTGTTTAATGTAATATTTGCCATTTTTCTCGCCTGCAACTATGTCCGCGCGCTGTGAAAGCATAGTAAGTAGCCTATATGTTTTTCCAGATTATTACACCTGCGTCATATTTCACCAATATCAGTTGAATAATTCTTGATACCTACGAACAAATGTCCATCCATCCATCCAAACTTTCACATTTATAATATTAATAATAAGTAAGATTAAGGTAAGAAAATTATTTATTTGCTTATTTTTTCAATACGTTAGGATCTAGAATTATTATTATTATTAAGTTAAATCTATAAAAATATAAAATATCGGGTCTTTTTAATTATTTAATTAATTATATGACTACCATTTTATTAACATCTCACTGTTTATTTTCTTAAGTGTGTGCAATTGTTTGTTAAGCATTTCTTATTTCATTAGATTTCTTTGATCTTCCTTCCAGATGGACTGGTGATCTTGAGAAGATGGCAATAATTTGCTAAATGAGGAGTTCAAAGGAGTCAAGTACATAATGATTATTGCAAAAAGGAAGACTTCGTACGAGAACAATCCAGTCCACTGCGAAATGCAAAACCGGGCAACTGATTCTAATTTTTTTTATCATTCTACATTTTGTTATCTATCTATTTTGATACTCGACAAACCCTTAAAATAATATTTTTATTTTGACAACTTTTAAAAAAGAGCTAATATTTATTTTTCTACTTTCCAGAGTTGGAGTTTCATTAACAACAAGTAATACATTGGCTAATTATTGAAAGGTATTTATCTGGGCTTTCCTCGCCTGGTACATTTTTTTATTTGTTTTTAACAGCATGAAAAATTGTAACACAGAAGCGCAGTCCTTGCTCCCAGAATTTTTTTATTTTTAAACAATTTATTTGCAGCTACTTTTATTCATCATGATAAAAAAGTAATGAAATAATATATATTTTAAATTGCAGTATCTACAAATTACTCATTAGTGGAATATTAGGAAAGCTTTTAGAAAGGCAGATATGCCAGTTCATTTTCAAAACTGGATCACAAACATAAAAAAAGAAATTATATGAGAGATTTAGGGACCTGTAATGGGACCAATTGTTACAAAACCAACAAAAGAGAAAGACAATCTCTTGTGTCGGAGGCCAAGCCCCGACCGCTTTGGGTTGCTGCGCCATCGGAGTAAGTAATAGGACAAGAAAATTAATGCTTAAAGTTCTGTTTCATATCGGTATCCAAATTAATTTAGTTTATGCTACATGGAAGTAAAAGAAAGGCATGGGGAACTGTGTCTACTGTAAACACTAGTTTCGGATTAAAGAAATAGTAAGTGTAAGAGAATTTAATTTGATTTAATTCTATCAACTATTGATGGTGGTCTGATCATTAACATTTATTGTGGTTGATGATTGCAGGTTAATACAACATATAGTAAGAATAACAACATCTTCCAGTATGCTGACCAATGAAACTATATAAGATTTATTTGCAAGCAAATGACAACAATAAGAAAACAAGCTTTTTAGGGAGGAAGAAATAATGGATAGATATGTATTTTTTATTATACATATATCCCTCGTTTCTTAATTCCTAGAGCTGAAATCCATCCAATCAACAGATCTGATACAAGACAAGAAAGAAGCAAGAAGTTCTGAAAATGGAAACCAAAAGTGATTCTTTTGGCACTTTTCCACATCTTATGCAAATATGTGAATATTTAAGACAAGCTATTGCCTGCGACTCCTTCCATGTTGTATTTAAAAAAAACATAATTATTAGCCTTTGTATTCTTCCAGACCATGTTCTATATGTATGCCAAATTTAATCAAGATCCATGCAGCCATTCTGGAAATACCTTCAAACATCTATCATTTCACCCAAACATTCTTATGTATATTATTAGTTAGAAGGAAGTTTATTTCTATTGTTATAAGAAGGCTATATTTATATCCAATGTATTTAAATGAGTTTATGTTAATAGAAGCCAGAGTATCCTGCGTCAGACAATATTTTTGCATAAATAAATTTATTATGAGAACCATGAAAAAGTTTGTTTTCTTTAAATCAATCAAAATAATTCCATCGCTCCCTTGATACTTAGAGGTTTTACCATTTTGATATATGCTTGTGTTTATATGTTGTCCAGCCATTCTGGAGACTACCTGAAACAACTCTAGCCTCGCAAACATTTTACAAATCTTTTTTTTCAAATCACATATATGAAATGTAAACTTTTTTCTTGATATTACAGACACTCCAATTTTATTAATATATAGATATATCAGAACATGGATATGTGATTATGGCTTTAAAACCTTAATTTGAATGTTTTATATAATTTTGAAACAATGCTATGCAATCTGCAATTTTAGGGTCCTTGGTCAGTATCACAAAGAAAATGGAAAAATCAAATCCCCGCACTCATATACTAAAACATAGTAGATTCTCTTAACTGCGACGATTTGTTGACTGTGAGAGTCGGAATTATGAATTATTTTATAATTACAGTAAAAACTCATACGTGATTTCTATGTAGTTACCGCAGAACGGAGACAATTTGTAGCTATACTAAATATATTATAGAGATGGACAAGAAAATCTGGATATAAAGAAATAGAAATTACCTCAGAATGTAACTAAAATAATGTTTTGAAAAAATAAAAATAAACGAAAAAGTCAATAAACAGAAAATGTCATCAAAATAACATATAAAATGTCAGTGTCACTGTCAGCCTTCAGTGACGTATGACGGCCTTAATTGCGATATTGCAATTAATTTTCGCTTATGAGTCCAATTTTCTGTTGTTTAGATTGTTAAAAATTTACCTTTTTTTTTAAAATATTATTTGTATAAGAATACGTAAGAAGCCAATTGATATACCTAAGTGAGAACATAATATTCTTGTTTTAAATCATTTATAAAAACATCTGTAAAGCAAACAAAATTGGAACAGAAAAATCATATTATAAAATGAATTTTAGTCTTACAAATAATTTTAGGCAAAACATTAAATATTCAATGTGAAATGAATATTAATAGATCTAGCAATACTATTAAAACCTTCCGGAAATATGGCGCATACCGTCACCATATGCAGATGCAGTTGAAGACTGTTTGTTATACTTGTTAATTTTTCGTTGAAGATATATATTGAACGAATAATTTACTATAAATCGATTGGGCGATTGGTACATAATGTATTCACGTGCAATGTGAATTTTACTTAAATTAGGTATAAACTTTATTATAATCAAACAAAACTAATATTCGCGTTTGATTGCTTGCCATTTTTTAATTTGTTGTAATAAATAACCAGTGGTTTATTTCAACATTGTAATATTTATTTAGGTTTTTATTACGTAATCCTCTGTTAAAATGGTATGTTGTTAAAATAGTTTTGTCAAGAGAGATTTTTGTGATAACACGTTTTTTAAATGTTCGGACTAAAAATATAAACTTTAGACAACTATTTTCATAAGTTTCATATGTGTATAAATTTTAGACATGAATTTTTAACATCATAATAAGAAAGTTTTGTTAAAAATGTATGTAAAACACGAATCGCCAAATAGAATCAGTTAAATCAAATCATCAGCACCACCAAACGCTGCATCAGCCACCAAGATGTTGCAGTCAACAAGGTAAGTTCTTCATATGTACTAACTTTTTTGTGTTATTCATTCATAAATTCCACTTTTTTAATTTAAATGTCATTTCGAACTTTTAATAAGATATCTTTTAATTCAAAATAAAACAATTGAATCATCATTATGCTAATTTATTACTTCAAAAATAAAATAACATACAACTGCATAATTTAATACCTAACATACAGGATAATGTAAAGTTTAAAAGAAACATTTAAATAAATAGGAAACCGGTTAACTAAAATATAAAACATGTAAAATTATGGAAATATAAGTATAACTGTACATAAATACATACTTAATAACAAAAATGAAAAAAAAACATGTTCCATATTTAAACAATTCACAATTATTTAACAAATTGAAATGAGCAATTACAAACATAGCTTTGTAATTTACCATGAAATTACTATCTATTACAAAGTCCATTGAAAACATGGTTCTAAAAATAATCCAGTATATGTATTTTTAATAACCATAATTATCTTAATTCACTAAAACACCACTGAAATATCAATAAACAACAGAATTGCTTTTAGAAATTTTGAATTCTGTAATTTTTATTGCGACAATGTATAAATAAATATTATGGTAATTTTGTATTTATAAAACTTTGAGAAGACCGCTACTACTATAGCTTTTTTATGTGAATTATTCAAATAAAATATATTAAGCAATGTATCTATTATACCATAAGCGGTATGAATTTCCATTGTATATTTTTAGGCATATCTGTTTTAAGACAACTTCAACATGAATTTTCTAATATTTAGGCTTAAAAACATTATTTATTTGTAACACCTGGCATATTATATACTTATTATTTTACAATTTTTTTTAATTGTAGTAACTATGGTTGTTAGCAATAATCATTTTTCCAAAATAGATGTCTGTCAATTATTTTCGCCCAAGAAACTTGCGATTTATGGCGTATTATTAAATTTCGGTAAAATGATCATTAAAATGTTTTCTCGAACGATTCCGCGATTTTTTCAAACAATATCTACAGGCTCTTTCTGAAGTTTCCACATATACGTAAACAATTTCAACCAATTTCCATGAAATTCTTCAAAGATATCGAAAATAGTCTAATAACAATGTTAGTATATGTAGAAAGTTTCTACGTAATTCTTCTATCATTGCTACCTTTTGTATCTCTAGTAAATTTCATACGCTTTTTGATAACAAATGGGAAACTAGTCATTAAAAAATTTAATGCTCACTTTTTGACTATTTTTTTTTTACACGTATGCTAAAAATAAAAATACTCTTAATATTTAATTGAAATATATATACGATCCGATATGTATTCATCCGTACATCTAACTGATTTAGCCGGAAACATATAAATACATACTAACTTAAATACTGCACACGCAAACATTCATACCCGCGAAAAACATTGCTATCAGTCTGATAAAAGCCCTGTAACCTTTTCCAGTCCGTTGTTATAAAAATAAAACGGTACATATAAATAAACTTTTCTATATGCCATTTTTGCGCAACTTTTCTATCCTCCGTTTAAATAACCTCGGGTAGTGTTATAACAGTCGAGGTTATATATAGCAGTAGTAAGTGTTTGATGACAATATAGTGAAACAAAGGCTGCATAATTATTTCATAATGCGGACATAGTCCAGGACGTGTAAAGATTGTTTCTCAATCAAGGAAAATATTATAGAACATTTGCGTCACTATAGTTACACAATCATTTTGATTGCATTCCATTAAAAAATAACGCCAAAGGAAATCGAAATACATCGCAATCTAAGATGAATCACGATGAAACCGATCTTGGTTTAATTGCTGTTTTATTTGCTTAGATTATATTAGTATACTACTAGAGGTCGCCCGCACGAAGATAGCCAATATAGGCTTTTTTACCTATATGCATTAGTTACCTTACCGTCAAAGTCCTGCAAAAATCTGTCCGGTAATTTCGAAGATTATTTGGAACAAACGCGGCTTTGCTGACAGAAATATAGTCAGTCAAAAATGTTGTTTTTTGTTATCAGCAATGCAAGTACATCATGTGTACGAAGTATTATTTTTTTCTCTATATTATATACAGACACTCCATTTTTATTAATATGTACAGATTAGATCAATAGTTGAACATACGCGTACGTAATACAAAATTATAATAATATATTTCGCAACATTAACATATTATCACTTTAATTAAGAGTATTATTTTTGCCTTAGTTTTTATATTATAATATAAATAATAAAACTGGTAAAATTCAAATTAATAAATCGCATTACGTAAATTAGCGAGAAGCTGCAAATATGATAAAGCTTAGCAGCATAGCAAATGAACAAAATAAGTCTGCCTGGAATTACTTCTTACTAATATTATAAATGCGAATGTTTAGATAGATGGATAGATGTTAGTTTGAAGATATCTCCAGAATTTCTGCATGGACCTCGTTGAAATTTGGCATAGTTGTAGAACATAGTCTGGAAGAACACATAGGATACTAATAAAGGTTTTTTTTAATTACGCACCGACGGAGTCGCGGGCGATAGCTAGTATTGGTCATAAATTTTGTACTATCCAAATAACTGAGCACTATTTTAGGATTCATTAGTGTTTTGTTAAGTAATATTATTAGGTATTTTACTTTGGTTAAGCCGTAGAAGTATGCATTAGTCATTATGATTCTAAATAGTAAATGCCACTGTTATTGTTATAGCGATTCAAATGTATATATGTAGTTATAAAGAGGATATTATTATATTCCGTTTGTTTTCAATGCCTTTTTTGGGATCTACTTTGTGGGTTAAAAATGTGTGTTGAATCAAAATACAGCTGAAGTAAACTCTACTCATAAACACGTACACGTGTAGTCAAACATAAAACCATATGCTACTCCTTAGATAATAATACTCTAATGATCTCTTTAGACATTAAGACAAGATGATCTTTTCTAAATATTTTGTTTTTCTTACCAAAATAAACGATCGCTTCGTGCCTATATCTAGATTATTGCGTATCGCGTCTATAATAGAAACAAATAGTTTCCTTTTGCCCTAGTAGTGGACGGAATAATGAATAGTATTTCCAATTCTAACAAGCAAAGATCCCGTTACCAATCTGAATAGAACATGCTTTTGTAAATTTGATACAAGCTGAACTGCGATCAAGTAGCCTAAGGTTCGATGAACTCAAATCAATG